CTCGTACTATTGTGTTTGCAAAAGCACAAATATTCAAGTTTCAAAATTGTCAATTCTAATTATTTGAATGAATTACTCGTATGACCTATTGGTACCATTAATTTCTATGATGTCGTTCATTTTTCTAGACTGATGTTTGGGAGAGATCTACTATGATTTGGAACCATCTTTTAATAGTTATTTGGCAGTTCAGAAGTTTTTCCACCTTCTGACATACGATCGCTCGGACATCAGTGATCTATGAAGTAACTGAAAGATCGCTCTCTTTTCTCCGACAGGATCTGGGTTAGATTCCCGTCCCACGCATGTGGAATTTCTGTTGGACAATGCGGATTCGCGGGGGCATTTGTCCTTTTTATGCTCTCTTTACCATTCATTCCACAACCCTATCCATCTTCATGACCCACATCTCCGCAATTGTTTTAATCATTTCATCAACGCCTCCTCATGAACCTATGCCAGGATGAAGGCGTTTCTTTGGAAATCAGAATACAATAGTTAAAGTGGCATTATACATGTGGATGATTGTGACAATTCCAATGCATCCCCAAGTAAAAGCCGGAGCAGATCCCTACCAAACGTGCTACAAACAGCGCACGATCTTTCCTTCCCATTCCTTGCCCTATCTTCACCCTTAGACGTACATTATCATGCACTACACTTCCACACATGTCGGGAGCTTAGAGCATGCCCCGACTGGGGCGGTGCCCCACTAGTGGGAGATACCTGGTTGCAGAAAACCTCGCCAGCAGTTGGAAGGTCGGCGCCGGATCTCTCCTTCCAGCGAGGGAAGGCCACCGCCACCTCCGGAGGAAAAACATTCACTACACTTACGGGGGTAATGATCTTATCACTCGACGCGCCTGGAATCACTAGTCATCAACCATCAATCCGAAGGAAGGCGTATGAAGGATTTTTTCGAGTTTGATCGGGTTCTCAAACTTTGGTTCAGAAGCCTGATATGCTAACCGTTTTACCTCCGTACCCACCGTATTGTGGACGATTGTGACGGTTCCAATGCATCCTCATATAAAAACTCAGCCCGAGAAGAAAGCGTGCTCTGACTTCGTGTCCTCCCTGTGCGGAGCTAGGGAGGGCCCGGGTCGAGCGAGGGCGGCCGGTGTGTGCGTTGGGCGCCCTCCTCGCCTCTAGCGGCGGCGGCGGGAGCTAAAGAGGATTTGGTCGCCAAATAACAAACGCCGCAGCAGCCGAGAGGATTTGTCGGCGAGCCGTGTTGATGAAGGAGCTTCGCCGCTGTCTTGCCGATACGGCGCGTGGAGCTCCGCGCAGCCAAGGCAGCAAAGGGATGGCGGAGTTCTTGCTTTCTCGGTGGGTTTGCGAGATCGAGGAGATGGAGATTCCGGAGAGAAATTCACGGTTTCTTTGGCGTTTGAATTGTTTTAGCAGCGCTGTTAAGAGACGATCACTTTTGGATTTGTTTTGCTGACTTTCCGACTTTCTTGTTTGAAACCGGGTGATGGAAATGAGATTGGCTTCGGATACGTTTTCTGGGCTGATGGAAGCAGTCCAAGTGATAACGCTGGTCCCTCTCCCGAAGTTGAGAAAAGTCTGTAGAGAATAGCATCGTCCGCTTAATTGGACATAAAATCCGACATTCTCTAGAATTCTCATTTAGACAGATGTATACTACTTAATTGCAATTGAAAATCTATCTCCTTCAATTGTAGGAGCTTTCTGTTTATTAAGATATACTTTCGGACTCGCAACTTACATTTACCTTCACGTTTTTTCACGGTAATCTACTTAATACTGCCTTTGAATTTGTACATTTCGCAAAAGATTGAAATTGTGATATAATCTGATATGAATTACTAACTTAATATTTCTTACATTTTATCACTATCGATTCTCAAGTGTACAGGATTATTCTGAAAATCTGTTTATGTCAGTGTTTGAAAACTTTGATAATTGTTCATAGTCTTACGTTTGATTTCTCTCAAAGTATTAATTCGTTGTAAAATTCCACGTAATTCGTTCTTTCATTTGAGTGAAGTTTTTCCTGAGAACCATTTGCAAGTGGTAATATCAGTTAAAAATTGCAAGATATTTAGTTTGAGCATTAAATTAAAATGATGCGATATGCAGGTCAGTGAATCAGATTCCAGAAAATCAAGATGTGAATCGACATAATTGATTTTATTTCATGTTTAATACATAGAATATCACTCAGTCTATCGATTGTGGCTGGGGTTACAGCCATACAAACGTCGTCATATTTAATGAGTTGTCGTGTTTTTTTAAAACTTTCTTAAAATAGTGTATAATAATATTTTCTGACGAAATTGACCTGATAGTAAACGCAGTTAAGTACATTTTCATACAGCTTTTCCTTCTAATTATCGTAATGATATTTAACATATACTTGTTTCGTTCTCTAGCGTGATGATTGACAAGAACCCAAATACGGTCATGATTATTTCCAATATGACTCCAAACCTTTCTTCGTAGATACAAGATTATCTTACACTTTGTAAGTGACACGTGGTATCCAAATTTTAAGTCTCACAATGAGACCATACCACAAATTATCATAAATTTGAAATTAAAATCGATTCACTCAAAAATAACATGCCATCCAACCGAGATCAAATTCGCAAATTGAATCTGTACGGTCGGCATGGAAAACATTTATCCCCCGCCCTTGCTGCCAGCGAGGTTGTACGTTCCTTTTCAACTCGCATTGCCCACTGCAGCCGCGCTCCCCGTGCAACGAGTCGCAATCCGCACGGCGGAGCGGCTGCCCGTGATCCACGGGCGGGCCGCCATTTGTGGCGCGGCCGGCGCTTCAATTTGCGGGGCGGGGAGTGGCAAGGGCGTCGACTCCGCGCCGGCCGCCCTGCGCCAACGGCGCCATTAGGGGTGCGAGCGGCCGCGCCGGCGCGGGAGGGGGCGACCCGGTGTCAGGGGCTGTGGTGGTGAAGCGCGCGGCAGTGCGGGGCCGGTAGCGAACAGGATCGTGCGAAGGGCAGCGGCGCGGTCCGCGGCTGTGAAGCGTGGAGGGGGAAGCGCGGGCGGGGCCAGGGATGGGCTCGGCGGCGATCTGGGTGTCGTGGTCAGAGCGGGGGCTGCCATGGGACGAGCGAGGGTGTGGGAGGCGAGCGGGTGTTGTAGTGCGCATGGGAGTGGGGAATCGCAGAGGCCGAGTGCGTCAAGCAGCTAGAGGGGATGGGGGGGGGCAGTTGCAGTTGGCGAGGCGGGCAGTCTGGGAGATTGGTATGGCAGGAGCGAGGGAGGGAGGGAGAGATGGCCTGCGAACAGCCGGCGTCTCGCAGCCATATTCATGACCTATCACGATTTTAATGCATCTGAAGCCGCGTGGCGCGCTATCCGGGTGCCCTGCAAGCGGATCTGGGGGGAAATGTGTTGACGCGTGGAGTAGCCCATAGTATCGCTCCGCCGCTCGCGTTTCGGAGAAAATTATAAATGAAAAGTGAATAATGATAAGGATAGATATCCAGATGATTTCGCGGTATCTTTAATCTTAGTTACAACCTCCCAAGCTTTGTTCAAGTTCTTACACATAAGTTAATATTTTAGTGCTTCTCTTTTCGCGGATTTTAATTTCAAATTTATGATAATTTGTGGCATGTTCTCATTGTGAGACTTAAAATTTAAATGTATCGCTCTCTCAAGAAAAAAGTTTATTATACGACATTATCTTGAATGAACAAAAAAAGTGCCTGCGATTCTCTTCTACTTACGTAATAGTTATGCATTATACTTTCATTATAACGTGTATCTATTAACTATCACTCCTGTTTTAACATTAAAGTCCCGAAAACCTTCTGAAAAATACGTTGCAAGCATTTCCGGCAGCATTTACTGAACAGAGTGGTTGAGGTAGCGGAGAATCGAAAGTGGGAAGAAAGTATAGATTAGTATGGGTATGATAAAAAATTCCCATATAATAAATATATTGAACATATTATCATTTATACTCTCTTTATATTCCATCAGGATATGCCACTCGTTTGAAATAGAATAAGAATACTCGCACGAAATTCATATTATATTCCCTGAATGATTCTGATCGGCATAACTGTGCCGGGAGCACACGTCTCTGCATTGTGTGTTGGAAGGCGAGGAAAATATTTTAAATTCTTAAGTTTACAAACATTCACTTCTGTGAATTTTTTCTCACTTACCGTCAAGGCGAGTTTTAACTAGATGTATTTTAAACCGTCCGTCAGTGTCACTCGATATGGGAAATTTCTATCTACAGTGGTGCATTGACACAATCGACGTATCGATTCTTCGCGTGGGTGGGAGAGGGAGGTAGTGAGTGACTTACTTGGTGTTTTCGGACGCATGAAGAACTTAGACCATATCGCATATGTGTAGTGGCTATTGCATCCAGGAAAGTGGCAGTATTCCTTCCCGCTGGATCATGAGATTCGGCCCCGACCTTCACTTGGCTTGCGGGGTTTCCCCTTCAGGCCTCTCCCCACAGCGCAGCACCGGCCCATCCGGCACAAGCTCCACGCTGCTGACCGGTCTCCTGATATGTGTGGTAGTGTAGCGCAAGTAAGTGTAAGTGCGGGTTTGTAATGGGAGAGGAGGGGGCAATTATGACAAAGGAATGATCGCGGGCGGTCCGTAGCCCGTTTCTAAACAAACTGTTTCGGAATTTTCCTGGTATTGATGGTTAAAACGGGGAAACGTACCAATCAGAGAAGCCGTCCGCAAGAATTCTCCTACAGACAGTAACCCAATTCGACCCAGCAATCTCGCTGGTGTCGAAAATTATCGGAACTTTCGATCTTTACTCGAAATATACAATCGGTATTATCGTCGTTTCTCGGAATCTACATTCTCAACAGCGCGTGAGAAGCTACAATACTGCTGCTATCGCAGCCTCGTGGGTTTCTCGAATGGAGAATCGCATCCTCCTCGCGTGCTGTCGCCAGCGCGTCTTCGTCCCACCGCGCCGACGGCGGGGCGGACGCGCGTTGTCACCTGCAGCGTCGCGAATTCAATCGATGGCAGCGCGGCGCGGGAACGCCCGCCTGTTGTTACTGAAGCGCCTCCGCAAACACTCGCGGCGCAGTCGAAACGCCATCGATTCCCGGAGGGTCGTCGCACCGAATCGCGCGGGCAAAGACTGGCGCGGATCTGAAGGAGACCGAGGACGGGGGGAGACGACGAGGCAGGGCGAGCAGAGAGAGGTGAGAGGGACTGTGGGTGGGTGAGCCGGAGCGGAGAGAGATACGAATAACATACGGAGAATATTGTAGCGGAGAGAAATACCATATCGTAGTTTGAGCCCGGACTGAGAGGTAGGGTGAGGCAGAGCTGAGAGACACAAGACGAGTCGGCAGACAGAAAGGGTGAAGCAGTGCAAGGAGACGTAGAAAGACCGGCTGCGTTTGGCTCTTGCCGCTGAATCTGCAGTGACTATGACCGAGAAGTCTAAGATTCGAGTCCTGACGGCGGCACTTGCTAGATAGCTAGGTTGAATTCAGCCACTGTCTGGTCAATAGTTTTCTGGTGGTACCATTCTAGTGGCCGCCTGCTCTGGTGGTCGGTAGTTTTCTGTGTTTGCTCCGATCAATTGCAGGTGAATGCTGGAGAAGAACATTAACAAACGAATCGGATAGGGAAGGAGCAGGGCTCGTAGCAAGCTGGTGAGAATATGACACGCAGGGAGAGAAGCGGACGGGGACGGGCGATGCCAGACGGGGTGGCAGCGTGCAGACGAGGTACGTCCGTCGCGTCGCGTCGCGTCGGAGCGTCGGCGGAAGCGGGGCGAAGTTGACGACGACGACGACGGCGGCGGCGGCGCGAGGGCTGCAAAGGGACACGCGGGGAGGCGCCCGAGGTCAGCGGGGTTGTTTGCTCAGGCAGCGCCGGAAGCGCGTCCAGCCGGACGCGGGGCGGACTCTGCCTAACAAGTGGCGCCTCCGCTCCTCCCCTCCCCTCCCCTCCCGGCGCCCGCTTCCGCCCCGCCCAGCTGCGCAATCGCTGCCACCGGGTGGGCTTTGAATACATTCACTGTGGGCAGCAAAGTCTGTGCAGGGTGCCTCAGAAAAAAATTTACGATTTTTTAGGGAATAAAAGCGGTCGAAGATGATCACGTTTTGCCAATGGTTGTGTGGCGGGAAATCTCATATAACGAATTGTAACTTTTGCTCGGGATTGGTAGCCAACTTTTTGTTTTCTGATGTTCGGGAAAGAGATTTTGTGTATCTGTTACAATGTAGTGAAAAATGAGTTGTGTATCAATCAGGGGAACTCTCGCGGATGTAATTTTGTTTCCTGTATGAAGTATTGAAGAGGTTCATTGGCAAAAAAATGATATTCAACCTCCTCTACATTCCCCAGCAAAATGTATAATTCTTTTTATCTAATACTTAGGTTCGAGAAGATTAAATCTTATATTTTAATTAATAAAATTAAACCGTAAATTAATTAATATCATTATGGTAAATAATTGCATCAAAGAATACTATAATATTTTTAGTTTTGTTTGTAATTTATCGCAAGGTAAATAATTTCGAAACCTTTAATTTTTTCTTACACACAAAACACATAAGATTGAATGTTCATCTCAAATATCGTTCTCATCCGATATCCAGAGTCTTGTCCACAAGTAATTATTAAAATGTAAGGATTTTAGAGAGTCCTACTAATTTCACTAGCAGTTATACGGAGGCATCAATATACATCAGGGAAACGTTACGTTTATTCTTAGGCAGCATATTAGAGTTCACACAGTTATATAAAACGCTACAGCTTTTATTTTTGATTTATGAATAGACTGTGTGATAAAGTAACACAAAAGTTGAAGAAAATAAGTACGTTTTGTACTTCTACGTTTTCATATGCCGTACACTTTCTTTTAAGATTCAAAATCAGACACAAAAAAAAGTAATTCTGCGACCATCTGCATTGTCGGACTATGTACAGCTACTCGCGTCACTCATCGCGCGTGAGTGCCAGCGGGGCATCATTCGCGCCTCATTGTCGTTTCGCGTTTCGCGCAGACGCAACCGAGGGCGATGAGGGGGCGGGGGCGGAGGCGGGGCGGGGGGCGGGGGCGGGCGAGCGCCAGGTGCTCGTACCGCAGCGTGTTCGG